TAAACATTAATGTAATCTAATCAAATATGAAACAAAAGCTATTTGCCACTGCCAGGGCATTACCTTTTATCTAGCTTGTTAAAACAAGTTAGAGTCCAGAGCCACGATCAGAACATCATAACAGGCTCCTTCTGAGCAACAGCTTTTTCTTTTATCGGGAGCAGCATAAACAGTCTATGTTCAGTAGCAGGTGAAAAGCTCAGCTCACCCACACGCCCGCCCACTGCCAAAGTTGAATTGTCTTGAACCTTTTGTACGCGAAAGCGGAGCTCAAATCATTGGAAAAGAGACTGATCCTCGCTGTTTCCAGAATCTATTACTGATCACTAAATAGGACATCAACAGGAGGGAATTCACATGGCATCCCTGCAAAACTAGATGCAGGCCTATCAGGTTATCAAGTTATGTAGGCTATAATTTTAACTTAAGTAAAATAGGCTACAGCTGTGTAACGCAGAGAAGCCGTTGCCATGGTTACTATCCATAGAGCGCCTGCCGTTTACTCGCAGAGCGCTTTATCTGATCACCTGAGGAGCGCAGAGCAACCCCGCGGGGCCAAGCGGCTACATTGTGATTTTAAGAACATTCCTTAGACCGACATCTTCCCCAATACTAATCACCATGCAGTGTGTAGCTATCCACTTCACTGTGGCATTTCATGGCTTGTCTTGCTTTTGTTTATCTACTTCTCCCACACGCTGCGTCCAGCGTAGTCTGCCGAAGCCTCCCTCCACTGCTTGTTTGGTTGGCTGATTTTCAGGCTGATCCCACCCCTCCTGTGACCCATGGTTTGACTGTCTGTGTATTGAGAGCCAGTGAGCAACGGACTTTCAAAATAATAGTAATAATAAAAACTGCGTTAACCTGTGATAAAATAATTGTCAGTGTATGAGCCATTTTCATTCTGTATTATTTTATGTATTTCTTGTCTTGTGCCACTAGGGGGCTGTATGTGCTTTGCAGTTCAGCTGATCTCGAGTCATGGAGGTGTGGGTTATTTACGTAGAGGAAACCCAGACACAGGTGTTGCTGATTTGGGAAGCAAACAGTTTTTGACTGTGCTAGCGTCTAGCCTGGGGGTGAGCAAGGCACGACGGTGTTGGTTACATGTATTACGAGCAAAGATAATGTCAATGTACGGGATATGGAGGAAAATAAACTTGCTAGTTAATAGTAACATTACCGAAGTCCCCGTTTGATATTTAAGACGCTGCACGGGCACACGTCTAAACTTAATCCGCTGTATTAGCAACCAGTTACTAGACTATGTTAGGACTTAGTCAGTACAGTCAGCGTTAATTAATTAATGTGTAACGTTCCAAGCCCTAATGTAAATATCAGAGGTATGTACATTTCTGGACTAGAAAATTCAATTCTAAACCGATTCACAAAAGTCAGAATCATCCAGAATCATCCCTTTCCATTATATTCTCATGGAAAGTGACACAGTCTGTGTCTCCAGCTGATACTTCTCATATTTTCTTTTTATTAATAAAAACCAGAAGTACATACATCTGTTTATTTAAATTATGGGCCATTAGTAATACTCTATGTTTTAAAAGTAGCAAGGAGCCACATAATGGCAAAAAATTTACTCATATAGAAAAACAAAGATGCATAATTAACTTAAAACATATTAAACCCCAGTTTAAAGAAAACTTACATCTCTTGCAATGTGGCAATGAGGGGGTCCTTCGATCAGCTGTTTTTTTTCAAGCTTTGGTTTCAAGTTTTATTGTTGAGTCTGAACTCGATGAGGACCCTTCAGATGCACGTGACTGTGACCACTCTGATAGAGATGAGGCCTCTTAAGTCTCCTCAACACTGTTGCCTAAGAACAAACTCATAGATTGTGTTGCATGATTTAGTATAAACGATTAATAACAGAGATCCACTAGCTATTAATGAGTACATTAAACAAATCATTCTGAGAGAAAAAGAAGGCTGCAATCTCTTGCCATTGCAATCTTCAGTGAAGGCCTTGAAAGATACCTGAGATGACTTCATCCAATATGTCTGGTTCCACTTCCACTCCCCGAGAATCCTTCAGGATCAAGGTAGTAAAACCTGGCAGACTGAATTTTGTAATTAACTAATACAGAAAACAACGCTTCACTTATGGTTATAACATGACATGATTCTAAATTAAACCATAAACCAAAAGTGAAACCCCTGAAGGCATGAATAAAAGTAAGACACCCACCTCCTTGTTAAAACTCCAGACATCCTCGGTCTTTGATACCTTGACCCATTTGCTCACTCCCTTATACTCTACCGGAACCAGCATATCACTGCCTTCAAAGGGAAAAATGTCAAATATAAATACACACGCAACCACACACACACACACACACACACACGATATATATAATTTAATAAAATATGTTATATGTTGTACGATACAGATATGTTCATATTAGATAAGTATTGCTTTGTTTTGGTTTCTTGCTCTTAATTTGAACTGTACTATTCTCTCTCCTCATCAGGTTACACTGGTGAGCATGACTAAACTTGCACACCATTATTTAATATTTATATTAGCAGGGAAGCAGGAGTGTCCTCATTGTAGCTTTGATGCATGACAAATTTGCCAACATTACTTAGCATATCACAACAGACACGCTTGCTGCTCGCAGTCAGCTCATTGTCAACACGGTTCATACCATTCACAATTGGAAGACAATGCGCAATTAACTCGTCTGTTACTGCTAGTCCTTTTTGATAGCCAGTGGAGGCAAGGCATGACTGTAGTAGGACAACATGCATGAACAACAACATTAGTATGGCGCGAGTAATATGATGTTATATCCTTCCCGATGTAGCGTAGCGTAACAGAGTAATGTAAATGTTTAATGTAATGACTTTACTGAGATAATCTAACGTTACTCCAGAGTTAAACAGTGCTGCATTCATACTAAATCAAGTAAGACTTGTTTAAAAGTTGCTCGAGAACATATAACAGAGTAGCGTTAAATGCAACTCATTAAGTTACTTAACGTTACCCAAATCTGCGGTCTGTCGCTAACGTTAATTGGCCACTGAAAGGAAGAATACAGAGAGCCATGCCTGAGAATGCCTGAGCCGCCATGCTTTACTAATAAGGCTCAAAGAAGCACTTAACGCTGCCAGTGGTAATTATCGCTTGCGAGGCTGTAACTAACGTTAAACCAAAACAACTAACATTACCATAACTCACCACTGACCACAATATAGACACATTACAACAAGGGAACTTCACATACCTATGCTCACACTGACCTCCCCTGCCTCTCAAATTTCCCCAAGCAGACCAGACTAAGACATTTGCAAGTGAAAAGATAGAAAAACACGTTTATTAAAAAGTAAGCATATTATTGGATAATGTTCATTATATTCTCCTTCTGCTAACGTTAATGTTATGCAACAATCGACCAGTTTGACAAAACACAGTTTAAAATGGAATTTGACACTTACAAAATATACATTGTAATATGACCGCAAATAACTTCACACTTATTGATACTTATGCTAATTTCAACCTAAAACATTCAATTTTATCAAATAAAACTTACCACATCGACAGAGAAAATGGCGACTGCAGATTCTGGAAGGCGCTTCTTCACCGGAAAAGTGGGAGTGGTCAATGTCACACCGGACAGTGTCAAAAGAAACGAAACTTAAGGATCCACACTTTCAGGATTTTTCACTCCAGGTGTTAGTAGTGCACAATGGAATGTTAAAATAACACTGAATTCTCTTAATTTCAACTAACTTTCAATAATGTCCGAGCTAATCAATACTGCTATCGAGATTAGCGGGTCCTATAATGTAATGTTATGTCTCAAGCGTCAAATCTGGTTTAACTTGAAACGTGATGAATAAGACAACTAATATTTATTTATTGATGGCACCAAAACGAGGTCATTTTTTTCAATATTATTTGTGTGAACAGATGAGCGATCCGTGTAAATTGTAATCTGTAAATATAAACCACTTTCCACAAACACAAAATGAAGATTTGTAAATTCACAAAAATATTTTGCAAATATAAAACAGATAATACACAAAAAAAAATCTGTGAATATATTTAATTATTTACAAATAAATTAACCACATTTGTGAATATCTTCCTAACATGTATAACTTTCAAATAGGCATGTGAGTCCACTTTTAATTTAGAAATTGTTGAGAAGCATTTGTGAATATCCTCCTAATTTGTCACTTTTGAACAGGCATTTGTGAGTCCAGCTTGTATTTGTCGATCTCAGTTCTTCACACACGGAGTGTTGAAACAAACTTTCCGCCGGTGGAAAGAAAATCGACTTGTGTCACTCGGCAGTTTTTGGAAACCACATGACATTGCCTGCCGACGACGTCATTTCCGCAAGTACAGCAGAGCTGCCTGAAAGTGCTAGCTTGATGCTGTCGCTAAGGCAATATCAGCTGCTCTCAACAAAACGTGCATGCAGACTGAAATTCAGCCATGGTGTTGTGTCAGGAATTTCAATTCAGCAATTTAAACCAGCGGTAAGTAAGACATAGTATATATTATACATGTAATTTGTTAAGCTCTAAGTAGAGGGAAAGTCTGCTAGCTGCTAGGCTAATTTAAGAAGTGTGAATTCCCATAGCCTTTAGCTAATGTTAATGGCGTGAAGCTAAAAACAAACCTTGACTGTTGAGCTAAATGTTTATTTAAATGTCCATGTTGTTGAGCCATGTTTTATGCTCGTTAGTGGGGTCAATTTAGCTTTTCTGCCCGTAACTAACGGGTAACGTTTCTTTTTTTTTTCTTTATGGCCAAAGCAGAGAAGGAATCAGTGGGAGCTCCTGTCTTGAGACAACCACATTTTTTTCTCAGAATAGGACAAGAAGAAGGAGAAGAAGAACAAGAGCAACATGGAAAACACCCCAAAAGAACAACCAGGAATAAATAACCGTCATCAAGGTAAATTATCAGAACCAAGGGGGATGAACTACCAGAAGGCAACACTGGAGATGTTCAGGACAGCAACAAATACCTTGGGATCTTGCAGGCAAACGGAAACCATGAGGAGGCATGGTCTGCCACAGCCAAACAGCTACACAGAGTAATGCAGGTCCTGAGAGTCAGCTGAATAGGAAGAACAAGATCAGAGCCATCATCACAACAGAGGCCACTGACATCAAGACAAGAAAGCTCCTCACTCCTCACAGCCTTGTAAAGTAATGATTTGGGGCTTATTTCTGTTGGATCACTGTCACACACCTGAAACTAATACATTTTATAATCACATCTTTGTTTTGAGTATGGTATTGTCAAAGGTGTCAGTGGACCATAATGTTACTGCTCATGTTACAAACAGTAGCTCCTTCAAACACCACTACATTTTGATCTTAATGTATTTATTTCACATTTAATGCTGAAGCACATGTAAGCCTATCCGTGACAGAAATACACTCCTCTGCATTGGAAAAGGAAGCGCGGGGAATGTATTAAGCTAACTTTTGTAAAAGGCGGTGCCAATAGCAACAGATGTTTATCTAAAAGTTATTATCACCATTACTATTCAATTCAATTTTATTTTATTTATATAGCCCCAATTCACAACAAAACCCAAACATTTCCCACCATGAGCAAGCACTTAGCGATAAAGGCAAGGAAAAACTTCCTTTAAAGAGGCACAAACCTCGAGCATTACCATGACTCAGGGTGAGCGGCCATGTGCCTCAACTGATTGGGGTGATCACCAGTGCCTTCTTATTCAATCACTTGTGAATTGCTAATTCATCCACCTGTGGTCCTTTCTGTGCTGAGTTTGCGGTGTCCTCAAACCATCTTAAGTCATTCTTTTTCTTCTATTATAGGCACCACAGGGAGATAATGCAGCTGATGCTCACTGAATCGTGCTCCCAAACTGAGTCTTGACCCCCAGGTTCCTAGCCACTCTCAGGCTACGTTCAGACTGCAGGCCTTAATGCTCAAATCAGACTGTTTCCCAAGATCCAATTTTTTTTGTTTGACAGTTCACACTGTTGTTTAAATGTAGCCCATATCAGAGTCCAATGTGTACTCTTCACGGCCTGAAAGTGACCCGCATGCTTAGAATAACACAACGTCACACGCAGCACGCTGTTGTACAGAAGTAAACAGAGCCACAGAGGTTAGCTCCGGTGAGCTAATCCTCCCTATTTTCATGGGAGACTCAAGTTTGTCATTGTTCTCTTTACATGTAACATTTCTGCCGAATTATGACAAGTACTCACAACTTTCTGTTCTTTTAATTACGGTTGCTGGTGCTGTACAATGCAACTGCCCCACAACTAACTTGTCCGCACGGACAAGTGGCACGCACACAAGTCAGAAGAGAGCTCGCAGTCCAGTGGATTTCAGGTGGAAGAAAGGGAATTTATGAGCAGATGATATCAAGGTAGAGAAGAAAAAGAGCCATATGTTTAATAATGGCTTTTGTTGGTCTTTTTCATTCACCGTGGCTCCGTCTTCAGCAGAACTGTGACAACAGCTGCTCAAGGGTTAGGGTTAGGGTTAGACATACATTTTGACATTGAAAATAATGCACTTTCAAATGTCACATTGTTGCTCCTCCTCCCCCAGGGGCCTGTACCACGAAGAAGGATTTGAGCTTATCCAGGTAACTTAGAGGTTAACCCTGGGTTTTCAGCACCACAAAGGTGGTTCACTTCTTACCGGGGTAGATCGCCATGGTAACTTATACTGAACGGCTAACCTGCTCCGGAGCAGGTTATGTTCCAGATAAGAGATCAACACTATGAAAACGCTACTGACCAATCAGCTCTCTGGGAAAATGACATTACCATCTGTAGGAAATCCCACGGACTGTTTTAAAACTCCTTTATGTTTGCTGTGGTGATACAGAGAAACTCTTGTAAGCTATAGCAATATCATCCTATGGAGACTGATTAAAAGCCTTAGGCTATTGTTGCTTACAGGTTTTTACAGTAGGCTGAGCCTACTTACTGCTTTGAAATGTGTTTAATATTTTTTATTTGCTCCCAGTCCGTTTCACACAGCCTGTCACAGCTGTTAAAATAAATGGGTTTCATTTTTCTAATGTAAGGCTGAATATTATCAGTAGATTGGTAGGGATATTGAAATACTAAATTTTAATGTGAACGTAGGCTATTTATTTTAGGTTAGTAGCTTTCTTATTGGCCTACTACAGAGACTGGTCATGTTCCGTCCCACCTTTTGGCGATGTGAGCGCAGGTAATGGGTGAGTTTTCAGTAGCCTAAATGTTGAGATTCAGTCTTTCAGCCACTATCTGAGCACATTTTATGGCATGAATGGATTTTGAGTTTCATTGCTTTATGAAGTTAATTTAGAATAATGTTTGGAACACTTTTGAGTGTGTTAAATAAATTAATGTCATTTTTGAAGTGATGAGAAGTTTTTTAAAGTGAGGTGGAACGACCACTTCTTCAGAGTCTTTTAATGTGGAAACGCCAACTCAGCCAAGCTGAAAGAATAAGGCTGATATTTTCATACAGCTCATAAGAACACGTCAAATCAACACATTATTATAGACTACGCCTGTTCATCATCACACTGTCTGCGAATTTCTGTCTATGTCGTATTTCTGTGTTACAGTTTGCTCATTTGTAAAATATGTCGCTCTGCTGACAGTAGACTTGTTCATGTCTGCTGCTAATTCCGCCTCTTGTTTATATGATGACAAGCAGCCCAGTGTCCCTGTTACACCAGTGAACATGCCCAAAGCTCACAGCTAGGGGGCTTCACTCAATGACACTCTTGAAAGTTACGGCTTTTAAGTCAGTCGCTCTCTCCATACCCACTCACTGTGCCTAAACACAGCATGCATCTGTCTTCTTTTCATTGCAATTCTGCATCACGATGTAGTGTTATATATTTATTTCATTTAAAAAGTAACAGTGGCAGTAAACCTTTTCTCATACTGTGATGGTTAAACTTTGCAATCAATCCAAAAAAATTCCACCAAAAAAATTATTGTTGTAGTTGTTACACTACTAGACCAGCATTACATTTTTCCTGTCATTCTTTTCGCAACACACTTAGGGATTCGCTGGTCTATGGTGAAAAGCCACTGCCGGCATGTCGATGTTACTGCATTTTTTTATTGTGGGATCACTGTATGAAAGCGGTTGTTTTGGATTTTGCTCGCTCATGAGTACACATCTGGTTGCAATCCTAAAACCGCACCGCTAGTGGCAGCTGATAAGGATGCACTTGATACCTGCAGATGCTAGGTGGCAGCAGAATGCTTATAACGTGTTAAAACTACCTCCGATAAAATGTGGGTTTGCAAGTGGCATTGTCCGTATTTATGCTTGTTGACTCCACAGGAAGTGAAGCAACTGCAGAAGAAATGTTTCATGGTTTATGACTTACAGTAACTTTGGTGAAAATCCATAGTCATAACCATCTACATACAACACCCAAACAATGTGTCTTTTTAGAGTTGTTCACAGAAACGCTATCAATTGTCAGCACTGTGGTCCTAGGGGATTTTAACTTGCATATGGAAGATACAGCCAACTCACAAGTCACTGAATTTTTAAAGGTGCTGAACTCCATGAATTTAACACAGCATGTTTATGGTCCCACTCACAACCACGGAAACACAATTCATGTTAGTAACATGTCCCCACCAACCCTCCCCCTTGCGTGCGATGACTTAATCAACACTTTTAATAATAGACTGGCGATATCTCTCACAAAATTTAAAAAATTAATTAATTTTGACATTAATTTTAATAAAGCAATTAGAAATGCAAGATGAGCTAATTTTTCTAATTTAATCTCTAACAATTACATTAATTATATACTATACTATACTTTGTTGACCATTTATATGAATGTGTATGGTTCGTTCTTTCATTATTTCGTTTCAAAACCAAATCTTTTAAAACCAAAAACCAAAACGGAAAAATGGTATAAACTACAAACAAAAAAACAGACATCTGTTTAGTTTTTCTGTTTTAAAGCCATAACTGAAAACAAAGGAGCTACGTTTTGTTCAATCTTTGACCGGTGTTGTATCCCTACAACCCGTTCTCACTCCCCGACTTGTCACATATGGCAAGGTCAAGGCCTTTCGGTGTCTGTTTGTAACGCACTGGGGATCCCTATAGCGTCATAGATCAGCGCAGTGGGGGAAGCCCTGTAGCTCAGTTTGTGACGGTAAAGGCAGGTATATGATATTTAACAGAAAAGACTCAGTTAGAACATGGTTTGGCTGAAAGGAGGGCCAGAACCTTTGAATTTGGAGACTTGTGTTCGTGTATCCTGTGAAACAAAAAGTCAATATTAGGCTAAATATTTTTATATTTAATTTTAAATAAGGCTATTTCTTTCCAGGACGTATCGTACCTCATATCAACTGTGGCGAATATGATTGTAGAAGTGAGCACTATATTACAGAGCCTCAAACACTCAAAATTTCACTCAGCATGAAGGAAGCATTTTGTTTTGGGCTGATCTGAAGCAGCTGGTTACCTGAGCAATCTAAGAAAATACCCGAATATGTTTATCAAGGGTTTTTTTTCTCGAGGCTACGTCCAGTGTGCGACCTCCTCTCCCTCACCCTGTACACTCCAGCTCCCCGCTCCCTCTCCGTTCACCCTACTATGAGTTGTGTTGCCAGTGGAACCGGCACACTGGACGCTCAGAGGTCGTTCCCTCTTGCTGGATGAAGTCTGAGCTAGTGATTTTCCGCATAACCCATGTGTTCCTGCAGCTGGAGGCTCTCTGCAGCACCGCACAACTTACTAAATTATTCCATCTCACAAAGAAAATAAAGGATCAAAGTAGCCTAGAGAGGCTGAACAAAAATTACCGAACGTTTTAATCTGTGTATGATTCTTAATATACAGCTAGCTGAATAAACTAATAACAGTTCATGTTTGGTGTGTAGGCCTACCATTGGATGTACTGAACTAAGCAATCAATGAATTAATTTGAGAAATCTTAAAAAAACGGAGGATTCTCAGTATAGCATTCCTGTTCCAGTTGCTGTTAGGCTACAAACTGAAAGTTGAGCCAATATTAACTAAAAACCCACTTATGTTGATGTTCAAGCTCATCTTAATTACATTAAATCAGGCACTGCCAT